GCTCTAGCAGGAGAGCCCCAGAAGAGGACAGAGAAGCTTCTAAAGACAGCGGAAGAGGAAGAGCCAAGTCATGTCGATGTTCCCGATAAGGTGTGGCTTGGGTCTCAGTGTCCAGGCTGAATGTGGTCAATGTCTTCGGTGCTCGGTGTTTAGGAAGGTTTGTTGCTGTTACAGACAAGTGTGAGTCTGAGAGTCTTTGGGGGCAGGGTGGTTGAGTGATTGTGTTTGACTACATGTATCTTTCTCCCACCTCGTTTCCAAACTAGTTCCAATGTCTAGAGAGTTGTGCTGACTTAGCAGTGTTGCTGTGCTCAATGAAGCAGGCCCGAGAGCTCTCCGTGGTCCTCAGTCCCTTCTGTGAATCTCTGTGCAGTGAGGCATGGGTAGGGAAAGGAGAAAGGTCTGTTGACAAAGTCAAGATATCCTCCGGGACCAGGCTAAAAGTATTAGAGTTTAATTCCAAACCCATACAGATCCATTTGGAAACAAACGCTGTCAGATGACACCGTAATGGAGGGCGCGTACCTTTAAACAGATTTCCTTTTGATGTGATAAAAACGTCTTATGAAAGAGATGTTGAAACGTGGCTTTTGATGTGAAGTAACATAATTAAGATTTGAAAGTAGAAAACCTTTTGTCGATAGTAGCTTATTTGATTCGGTGCATGTACCAAGCATTGTTTGCTGTAGGTTATAAATCAGCTATGAACCAGTTATAACTCATAAGTCGTTACTTATAACTGATTTATGGGAAATCTCATTAATTGCAATAGCAAAAGGATCTTGAAGTAAGCAAGAAGTAGAAAATAGAGCAGCCTGGGGATTGAAGGAGGACAGGCACATATGCTCTATAATTAATGCAATTAATACAATTAGTAGTAATGTATCATGTTTGCGTGTTTCATCGATACGTGTCCCTGGTCAGGCCAGTTCGTCCTAACCACCACTTTGAATGATAAATATTAGTTTAAGTCCTATCTCGGATGAGAAAACGAAACTGAGTGTGCCATCATTTTATTTTTTTATTTTAATCCTCACCCGAGGACATTTTTCCACCTTTTGTTCAGATAGAGCGGGAAGGAGAGAGAGGGAGAGAGAGCGAGAGAAACATCGACGTGAAAAGGACACATCGAGTGGCTGCCACCCGCACGACCCAACCAGGGCCGGGGACAAACTGCAACCGAGGTACGTGCGCTTAGTGGGAACCGAACCCGGGCCTCTCTGGACCGCGGGCCGACGCTCTACTGCTGAGCCAAACCGGCCAGGGCCATCATTTTATTTTTAATATGTATTAAATATTTATCATATATTGCTTATCATGAGCCGTAACATTATTGTACATTAGGTGACAGCCCTAATAAAGGCCATTTGAGTAGATCACACTGTCCCCTTGCCTGGCTGGGACCGTGAAGTAGAGACAGGGGCGCTTGCTCAGTTGTAAGGGCCCGGGGGCCCAAGCAGGCGTATGGAATCAGGAAGTCTCACGCCAGAGCATTCTCTCTTGACCAGGTCACAGAAATGTTTTCGCTGCTTCGTATTTTAAAAAGGAAATAGGTAGCAAATGGCAGAGAAAGGACTTATGTCTTCACTTCTGTGCTGTTTCCAGTCAACCAGATCAGGAGACAACAACCATTAAAAAAAAAAAATGTGTGTGTTTTTACTGACAGTTCCCAAGAGAAGAGGCCATGCCACACGGGCCACTGGGGCAGCAGCGGGGTTGGTGTGGAGGTAGAAGGAGCAAGGAGGAAATGTGAGCAAGAGCCTCATCGTGTTTTTTGAGGGAAGGCAAGGTAAACAGGCTTGGATCGGCTAGTGTGAATCATGTCAGTGGGTGCTGGACATAGGGGCCGTCCCTAGCTGGCTGGTACCTAGCCCCAGAGTGATTAGACAGAGGGGTATTGGCCTGCATGTAGAAGCCCTGTGAGAACCCCATAAGGGACATGGTTGGGGTTTGAGGTTAAGACTGGATGGTTTGTGGGCATGAATACATTAGTACAGATCACTTACACGTCTCCAAAGAGTTGTCATTAGATATTTACTGATGTGCACATTTTCAACAGTCATGTTATTTAGTGCCTACAGCAAGCCAGGTACTGTGTTGGGAACAAGCTAAGGAGAGACCATCGGACATGGCCTCCACCCTCCCAGACTTCACGGGCTGGGGAGGAAACAGACCCAGGAACAAATGACCCTAGTACTGGATGGTGTGATAAGTCAGCCTGGAGCCACAGTGGCCCTGAGGATGAACGGAAGTCAGTCTGCCTGGGAAGTATGCAAAAAGAAATACTAATTCACAACCTATTAGTCGCCTTTCTTTGCTGCCCTGATGGAGGAGACATAAACAAGCCCATGAAGCCAGAAAGCAATCTGTGGCTTTAAACTCCACCTTCCTTAGACTTCGGTCCCTTTCAGTGGTTTTGTAAACGAGGATGTATGTTTAAGGACTGCTAATAACAGCTGCCTTTTCGAGTAAGGCATCTCCTGTTACTGAAAACAAATCCTCTTCTCCATCATGTGTACTCTCTAAAAATGCAGTTATTTAGAAATGCTAATGTAAAATGAGACCCTTACCACCAGCAGGAGAATTATATCCTAGAGAAGAGCCAACGCTTCTCACCTCCAGCCCTCGAGCGGGGGGAATGGAAGTGATGGCCAAGAAGCTGGACCTGTCTCTGGCGCTGACTTCCGTCCGCAGCTCAGTGGGAACAATGGGAAGATCTTTTTAGCTGTTCTCCTTGCTACCAGGCCCTTCCAGAGCTTTTCTCCCTCCTACATCTGTCCAACATTACCGTTCTTAAGAACAAAGCTGGCGATAGCGTCCAATCTGACAACAGAACGTGGCATCTGCAGGACAACACAGTGATTCCAAGTTTGCATAACCCTTGACGGTCTGGAGCTGATCTCGCACCAGCTGCTTTCTCCTTCTCCGCCCCAGGCTCGTACGTGGAACCTTTCACTGTTCCCTGGATGGACTAGGAGATTTCATGCGTCTTGTCTTGAGTTAGGCTGGTCTCTCTGCCTGAAGCGCTCTCCTTTCCTGTCCTGTCCTGACCTCGTCCTCCCCTAAAACAGAGATCAGATAACCTTTCTCTGAAAACTCCTCATTCCCAGCAGAGACTGGGTTGCTCGGACCTCAGTGCCCCTGTGTTCGTGTGGCCTGGGCTCAAACACTCAGAGCCTAGGTTTATCATCGCACTTCATCTGTTTGTATGGCTTTCGCTTTCGAATTGTAATTTACTCAGAGGTAAGGTTTACGGTCTTCTACTTTATATGCCCAGTACTTAGCAAACTGTCTGGCTAAGGGCAACAACAAAGACAGTAATAATGATAACAGTAATGTCTAAGGTTTATTGAGTGCTTGCAATCGAGAGGTGCTATTCTGAGCCCTTTATCTACATTAACTAATTTTGTCCTCACAACACTAAGGGGAATTTAACATTATCGTTTGCATTTTGCGAGTGAGGAGATTGAACCATGTGGAGGACAAGTTAACATCCCCAAGGCGATACATCATAAGTGCTACATTAGTGCCTTTTTAAATCGAGTACGGTCAGCTCCTCGTTCCACTCCCCCCATTTTTTTTTTCTTTGCAAGAGATTCACAGAAGGGTCACTGTTTGTTGAGAGATTTGGGAGAAATCACAGGTGCCCAGTCCGTGGTACGGTAGTGAAGTGGGCCGGACAGGGGGTAACACAAGTTCCTTCGGAACTCCGCCTCCTTGAGCTGGAAGAGATGCAGAGAGTGGGTTATTTTATTTCTCTTAAAATGAGTAAGAGTAGGGACCCAAGATGTGTCATAGTCCCATTATACTAAAATCTTTTCTGTAAAAAAAAAAAATATGTTTTATGGAAAGATTTAGTTTGCGGCATGTCTGCCTGTAGGTAGCAGTCGGCTCTAGTGCAATGAGTTTGGTATGTTGGAATCTAGAAGTTTACGTGCGTCTGTACATGTCACTCTCTCAGTGTCTTCCCAGGGGCCGTAAGTTAAGTTGCCAGTGTTTACAACTGAGGGCACCCAAAGCAAATGTATTTTAAAGAAATTATTATGTATTTTGCCTTCATTGTCACGGCAACCTCCTTTGTGGAGTATTTGCAATCCTGGGCCTCTGGGCTGAGCAGATGAGCCTCGGAGCATTGGCGCTGTAGTTACATGGGGATCCATGCATGTCGCTTCTGTGATGAATTTCTTCATCTCGAAAACGGAGAATATGACAGTTCACACGTCGGAGGATAGAGGATTGGAGGGGTCAGGCAGGCAACGGGTACAGCGGCAGAGGCCCCATTCTCAGAAGGGTCTACATGGGGCTTCCTGCTGTTATTCCTGATTTGAAATTCTCTATCATTAGCAGCAAAGGCATCCCCATTTTCATTTTATGCTGAGCCCCATAAATGTGTCGACATTCCTGGATAGGATTTTTTGTGAAGTCTAGAGCCCAAGGTGCCTGCACATAGAAAAACCTCAAATAGCCCTGGCCAGTTTGGCTCAGCAGTTAGAGCGTCGGCCTGCCCACCAGAGAGTCCTGGGTTCAGTTCCCACTAGGGGCATGTACCAGAAAAAAAAGAAAAAGAAAGAAAGAAAGAAAAACCTCAAATAAAATGTCAGTTATTACTAATTTTGCAAGGGATTTTTTTAGTTTGTTGGGAATGGTCCCCAAATTCTATTTTCGGAACTTTTCCGGTTTGATCAGACAGTGACTCTAATGGTGGGTTACATGTTATGCGTCCTCAGGCATCTGGCTCACACTGGTTGGTTATCACTCCATGAAGGTCCTCGCTGCATCTTTCCAGGTCTCTGTGATTCCCGCCGGATGGAGTGTGGGCTGTGGATGGCTGCTAATTTCAAGGGCAGAAACAGCTTTCTAGAAATATGAGACTCATTACTCAATAACGGACGTTAGATCTGTTGTTTTTCTAGTCTGAGAAATGATGGCTTTCGCCGACATTGTCCCGGAGACATTTAGGAAGAGATCTAACCCTCTTTTCTGCTCTCATTGTGTTGCAGACTGTTTGAACTCCAGAAGGACCACCACCAGATAAATTATGAATGTTGAACAAGATGACCTTACATCCACAGCAGATAATGATAGGTCCTAGGTTTAACAGGGCCCTATTTGACCCCCTGCTTGTGGTGCTGCTGGCTCTTCAGCTCCTCGTGGTGGCCGGCCTGGTGCGGGCTCAGACCTGCCCGTCCGTCTGCTCCTGCAGCAACCAGTTCAGCAAGGTGATCTGCGTCCGGAAAAACCTGCGCGAGGTTCCCGATGGCATTTCCACCAACACGCGGCTGCTGAACCTCCACGAGAACCAGATCCAGATCATCAAAGTGAACAGCTTCAAGCACCTGAGGCACCTGGAGATCCTACAGCTGAGTAGGAATCACATCCGAACCATTGAAATCGGGGCCTTCAATGGTCTGGCGAACCTCAACACTCTGGAACTCTTCGACAATCGTCTTACGACCATCCCGAATGGAGCTTTTGTATATTTGTCTAAACTGAAGGAACTCTGGTTGCGAAACAACCCCATCGAAAGCATCCCTTCTTACGCTTTTAACAGAATCCCTTCTTTGCGCCGGCTAGACTTAGGCGAATTGAAAAGGCTTTCGTACATCTCAGAAGGTGCCTTTGAAGGTCTGTCCAACTTGAGGTATTTGAACCTTGCCATGTGCAACCTCCGGGAAATCCCTAACCTCACGCCACTCATAAAACTAGATGAGCTGGATCTGTCTGGGAATCACTTGGCTGCCATCAGGCCTGGCTCTTTCCAGGGCTTGATGCACCTTCAAAAACTGTGGATGATACAGTCCCAGATTCAAGTGATTGAGCGGAACGCCTTTGATAACCTTCAGTCACTGGTGGAGATCAATCTGGCACACAACAATCTAACATTACTGCCTCACGACCTCTTCACACCCTTGCATCATCTAGAGCGGATACACTTGCACCACAACCCGTGGAACTGTAACTGCGACATACTGTGGCTCAGCTGGTGGATAAAAGACATGGCCCCCTCCAACACAGCTTGCTGTGCCCGATGCAACACGCCTCCGAATCTGAAAGGGAGGTACATTGGGGAGCTCGACCAGAATTATTTCACGTGCTACGCTCCTGTGATAGTGGAGCCCCCAGCGGACCTCAATGTCACCGAAGGCATGGCAGCTGAGCTCAAGTGCCGGGCCTCCACCTCGCTGACCTCCGTGTCTTGGATTACTCCAAACGGCACGGTCATGACACACGGGGCGTACAAAGTGAGGATAGCTGTGCTCAGTGACGGCACGTTAAATTTCACGAATGTAACCGTGCAAGATACAGGCATGTACACATGTATGGTGAGTAACTCTGTGGGAAACACTACTGCTTCAGCCACCCTGAACGTCACTGCGGCCACCACTACCCCTTTCACTTACTTCTCCACCGTCACGGTGGAGACTATGGAGCCCTCTCAGGATGAGGCACGGACCACAGACACCAATGTGGGTCCCACTCCAGTGATCGACTGGGAGACCACCAATGTGACCACCTCTCTCACGCCACAGAGCACAAGGTCAACCGAAAAAACATTCACCGTCCCCGTGACTGATATCAACAGGGGGATGCCGGGGATCGATGAGGTCATGAAGACGACCAAAATCATCATCGGCTGTTTCGTGGCCATCACGCTCATGGCCGCGGTGATGCTGGTCATTTTCTACAAGATGAGGAAGCAGCACCATAGGCAAAACCATCACGCCCCGACAAGGACTGTTGAGATCATTAACGTGGATGACGAGATTACAGGTGACGCACCCATGGAAAGCCACCTGCCCATGCCTGCGATAGAGCATGAGCACCTAAATCACTATAACTCTTACAAATCTCCCTTCAACCACACGACCACAGTGAACACAATAAACTCAATACACAGTTCAGTGCATGAACCGTTATTGATCCGAATGAACTCGAAAGACAATGTACAAGAGACTCAAATCTAAAACATTGACAGAGTTACAGAAAACAAACAATCAAAAAAAAAAAAAAAAAGACAGTTTATTAAAAATGACACAAATGACTGGGCTAAATCTACTGTTTCAAAAAAGTGTCTTTACAAAAAACAAAAAACAAAAAAGAAAGAAATTTATTTATTAAAAATTCTATTGTGATCTAAAGCAGAAAAAATTATGTGTATTCCTCAGAACCTGTTTTCGCTGCACTTATTTCCTGTTTTCCCACATCTCGTCCCTGCCTTCCCCAACTGCCATACTTTTCATAGATCTCAAATCCCTAAGGAACTGGTCTAGGAAATTTTGTAAGAATTCTGGTACACTTTGAGATTTTTATGGTGAATTCTCGTGGTGAGATCTAGTCAATTTTGTCTTTCTTTTTTTCCCCTCCTTTCTTTTCTTTTCCCCCTCATGCCCTTATGAAGTAGTCCAATGGGGAATGCAATATTAGAAATAGATTTTTAAAAGAGAACAAGGAAAATAATGCAAGATCTTATATTTTTCATGTAATGACCTGTTCGGTATTGATGAGGAGGACCATTCAATGGAAAAAAAAAAAAAAAGTAAACAAACAACAGATTAATTTACATATGATCATCTATAAATCCCATGATCTTTTAAACAACTCTAGAACCAGAATTTGTAGTTCAAACACTAAAAATAAGATTATAAATAAAATATTGTTGGTTTTTCTGTACCTGGACACAAGTCATTTGTAGTATGGCTCAAATGTGAGACACTGGAAGGTAATTCAATTTTCTATTTTCTGAGAAAGAAAACACGACAGTATTTTTTAGTCACAGCATCAATCCCTATGGGGTCCTGTTTCATTAGATTGACTTGAGTTTGGCATCTATATATTCAAGGGTGCTGTGGTAGTTTTCCCCTCTCCTTAGGTCACCCTTTGTAGAATGCTCAGATTTAAAAAAATCATGGTTTTGTGAAGTAAATTCAATTCTACTGGAAGAACATTTTAGTATAATTTATTTACCCTCTCATAAAATTCTGCTGGCTAGACAAAGTATGACCACTGAATGCAAAGGTATTCTAAATTATCCAAGTGGAAAAATCATTTCTGGTGCCAAGTATCAGCAAATTCAGTTTCATTCATACTGATTAAAGACCTACTATGTGATAAACACTGATGCTAGTGTGGGCACACAATGGACAAGACCTACTTTCTGCCCTTGCGTCACTCATGATCTACGTAACATGATTAAAGAAATACCGGTTCACTACTGGGAGACAGCTCTAATTTTACTGTTATGTGAAAGACTGCAAATTGTGACCCTGGAGTTGTAAAGTATCAGGTTACTCTTATTACAGACACTCTAGATTCATGGTTTTGTCCCTCCTTGTGGAAGAGTTGACTCTTTTTTCCAAATGCAGATCGCAAAATGTAAAGATGATGAGTAAGGAATTTGTTATAAAGGGATACACGCATACCAAGAGATAGTAATGCTAATTCGGTGGTAATTCACTAAAGGTACTTAAAGGAACTGGAGTTTTTAGATTTGAGAACATACGCTGGCTTCCAAGTTAAAAAAAAAAAAAAAAAATGTGGGTTATTGGCACTATGGTGCTCTCCTGATACTGTAATATAATATGTGTATGACTTACTTCTTTTGGTGAAGCAAAATGAAAATATACACCTCTTATGAGTGACCTTTGAACCTGCTACCCCGTTGGTGAAACAAGGGTTGGCCAAGTGACAGCAAACTTCAGCTCCTAATGGATGAGCTACTTTGATCCTCACACTTAACTCTGCAGGCCAGACCTCACGCCAGGGTTTTGTGGTCTCCAGGTGTGAAAAACCAATCATTACCAGCAAAGCCGGTCAGAGAACTAGAAGGAAGGGATAGCAAACGAATGCAGTCGCACAAGGGTCTTTCTATTTTTTGATCACCAATTCCCTAGCTTTTTCCGCCCTCATTCCCTAACTTCCTTGTTAGGAAGATGACTCACATTTGCTTTTACTGTGGGAAAAAAAACAAACCTAGAGAAAAAGGAAAACACATGTTGGCTGTCATTTGTCAAGCTTTTTGGTATCAGATGTACTTACTATATTCCCAAGCTGCATATACAAAACAAACAAACAAACAAGCAACCCACCAAGGAATTTCTGGCACGTGTTAGTACGAAGAAGATTGGTGTACATCAAGAGGGGAACAAATCCTGCCCTCTCTACATGGTGTGTGCTACGGAGCCCTGTGTCTGCTGACGCTAAACCTTCTTCCCTCGGGAGCTTATAATTCCTCTGAGATAGACCCAGAATACAGCTCTCCTGCACTTTGCGGGGTGGCTTGAAGAGTTAGATAAATTCTACTGAATAGAATGAAAGGTGAACGTGACCTAAAAATTTAGGTAAGAAATGAAGCATACAATTCAGTCCCATAGGAGATTATATTTGCCCTATTTAATACAGTATACACACACACACACACACACACACACACACACACACACACACACATATATGAAAGATTGGTTAAGCCAAACTTGACTTCACAGTGAATTTAGAGATGCTTTTGACAAAAGTTTCCCATGGCAGGTTTTGTGTTGAAAGGTGCTATAAATGTATGATTTAAAGGACACAAAAACTCTAGGTATTTATGATTAGCAATGTCTGTATTTGCTCTGCATAACATACTTGGCTTTTGGCCCCTCAGCACAGTAGCTGCATTCATGTATAGAGACAATCACACACTGGGTTGGGACATTTTATACATCTGGTGTATCCTTACAGTAAAACAATTCTGCGTCGATCGCTCATATCATTCTGCCCACAGGCAACCAAGTGCCAGTATTCTTTAATACTTATGCACCCCAAATATGCCATTGACAATGAACCAAATTAATAATGGTAATATTTATATATATTTCCTATTTAAGGTATGCATTTTTCTTTGGGGATGCCTCAAAAATGTTTTAGAAGGTTTGCCAACTTTTTCCCTATGCTTTTATTCCTGGCTGTGACCTTGAGCTTCAACATTTTCTTTAAACATGTCCAGATATTTGCATTGGTAAAGTACTGGGAAGATTCGGTATAGCTCACATACACACTGAGACAGCTTAACCATTTCCCCTCATGTTCTGAATATTGTGGAATCAAATGTCATCTTAAGGTTGAAGTAGGTCATTTGACTTTGGAACGTTGATCGGTGTTTTCTTGAGGAAGAACATGTTGCTAGTCCATGGTTGCTCTTAGGCCTTATAGTCAGAGTTAAACATCAGGACATTCTTTGAGACCTGCATACTTCAAATTCTGAAGACAGATCTGCTAGAAAATAACTTGATGGTGGAATGCTTATTTCCACGGGAGAAAGAAAAGAAAGAAGGCATTCGGAACAGGAATGACAGACGTGAATAGACGTGAAGTGGATGCCCCAGTGTACATGACATTTCCAAGGTAAATATTGATTACCGTGGGAAGAAATCTGAATCTTTTATCCTTTGGAATAATCTTCAAGATGATTCGGTAAGTAGAAGAGTCAGATGGGTGCTTATGAATACAGGTAGTGCTCTGAAGTGATGCAATTTTTAAGTGATGTGTCCAGTTGTTTAGTTGGTGCTGCCGCTTACCAGTTCTCACAAGGATATCAAAATAATGATATTTAAAAGTCATTAAATGTCACAGACCTGATATATGCAAGCACCAATGAGGGGCCCACCCTTCTAAGAAACTATGTGTCTGTTTCTAATAAAGTATCGTAGCAGAGAGTCAAATCTCATACAAGCAATTTCACCCAACTATATACACATCCTTATATTTTACTAGACTGTTATTTTTTGCACAAAAGATACTTCAGATAAAAATAAGTCTAGCCCTGGCCGATTTGGCTCAGCGGTTAGAACGTCGACCTGTGGATCAGAGAGTCCCGGGTTCGGTTCCCGCTAGGGGCACGTACCAAAAAAAAAAAAAAAGTCTAAAAAGCCTTAAACATTAAGATACCTTTTACTCTTTCTCTTCCAATAGAAGAAATAGGAATTCCTATAAATTCTGTATTAGGTAGAAACCAGCTGTGACATTTTTGTCTCACTGTGCCGTATCAGGATCCAGAATGAGACATGTCTGGCTCTATGAGAGAAGAAAGAAATCTCAGAATTATTAGACGTGCTCTGTCAACGAACACCCAAATTTAGATGATGAAGGAACCCGTTGTACTAAACACACCATTTTGAGCCTTTTGGTTCCTTCAAGTGCTACCAACAAAACCTCTGAGATTTCAACCTTTCTTGACATTATTTGAGAACGTATCCACCTTATACATGAAAGAGTAACATTACATTTTATAGCAAGTGTTTAGTAGCAGTAAGGAAACCTACTGTTCATTTTTCTTCTGCCCAGTCAATAAAAAGGAAAACAAGAGGGAGAGTGATTGATTACTCTAAGACGGACAATAAATCAAACGAATATTTTAACAAGAGCACATGACATTGAAATTCCTTCGTTTTGTAAATTTTTCATGTGCCGTAAACAAGAAGACTCATATATATCTTGTGCATTATCTAGAAACCAAAGACCTATGAAACTCCAGACCATGGAGGCTCCTCTTTAAACAGCTGGCCCAGTGATTTCATTTCATTCTCCAGGTTATTAATGCCGTGCTTTATCGTGGATTTGATGCTGGATTTGAACTTGTCCACATGGCGGCAATCCTGTCTTTATCTGGTTGGCAGATGTAGTGAGTACATGGCTCGTGACCAGGATTTAATGACAGAGGATTTAATGTTGTTTGAAGTTAGGGAGTTTATCTCCACAGGCAGCAGGATCCATTCTGGTTTTTGTCCTCTAACTTTGACAACGTGGTAGAATATCCCCCTACCTCAGCCCCAGGATATCAGGAGGGAAACCCGCTATGGGAATCCCTGGCATTTACTGTCTCTGTATCAGTGGGCTTCTGAATGACAACGAGAACGTCTCCCCTCTGAGCCCTTAGTTCCACATTACAGGAGTTAGGAAGTACAGGGAGCTCGCAGGCTGATCTAGCACAGCTGCTGGCTCGGTCACGGGGCTGGTC